TGTATTATTATGTCCTTTATTCGAACACTATATTTACCTTTCTTTGATGATATATATATATATATATATATATATATATAGATTAAAAGGCAAAATACTGGAAAACAACAATTCTGTGGGAAACAATGGCTGGATCTCAGTAGAGATACAAAAATGATAAGCAACAGCTAAAAAGTAAACGTAAGTAAACAGCCAGAAATAGAACCAGAGCTTTCGGACAACACTAGTCCTTCCTCAGTGGCGAGTATATATATATATATATATATATATATTAATATATATATATTAATATATATTATTAGGCCCTATATATTATTATAAGTTCGTAATTCGGTTTATCATATGTTTTTTATTTTCGTTTTGTTGTGTTTTCATTAACAGCATATTACTTATAAAAATCATATCATATGGTTTGTGTAATCATTACCAACATACTTATTCAAACAAAATATATATATTTTTTATTACAGTACTTATTGCATATGTACCAAATGTGGCAAGGACAGGCCAAACCAGTCACTTGTCGCAAATCCTGTTTTAGAGATAATGGCCAAAACATGCTGGAATGTCAAAATTTTTGCACTAAAAGCGCACTAAACTAACCTTTAAATATCTACACATCATGCTATCCTGTTATTTTCCCCATTTTCAATGTTAAAACAACAGTTTTTAATGATTTAATTATTTTTTCTACCTGAGAAATGCCCAAAATCATAAACTTTGAAGGCTGATCTCTCAAATATTGCTATTTAAACAGCTGTATATTTAAACTCCTTTAACTTCATAATGAAATGTTGGATTTGAATGATTTTTTTACCATTTTATAGCTCTCATTTTACTGTTTTTTAACAAATTTGGTTTGTGGAAAAGTTTCTTTCTGATTTGTTATTATTATTTACCTTGCAACTAATAGTGAATTTTTCCAGCTCAAAAATAAAGCCGAAACCATGAAACGGCCATAATGTATGTATCAATAAATTATATTAAAACTATATTTTACTATAATATGTATAAAAAATGGAAATAAAACAAATAAGAAATCACAAAAGAAAGAAAAAAAAAGAAAGAAAAGAACTTGTGAAAAACACCAATATGGTGATACAAGTTTTCTGCGTTTAAAAATAAAGTTATTATTATTATTATTATTATTAACATAAAGGAAAATAAAAGAAAGAAAAAGAAAACGAAAGGAAAAGAAAAGGAAATGAAAAGAAAGGAATAAGAAGAAAGAAAAGAAATGAAAAGCAATGTAAAGAAAACGAAAAACAGAAGAAAGACAGAGTATTAAAAAAAAATTAATGGAAATCTGTTACCAAGAAGGGATCAGAAGTTTGGGGAAAAAAAACCAAAAAAAAGCTGGTAACCGTTTGTAGGCATTGCACCTATGAGATGGCCAGATGTCATTTTTCAAATGATGGCTGAATAAAATAATAATAATAAAACCTTGTGTCAGCTTCACCTCCAGAGTGCTGTTGGAATCTATTTGTGGGAACATTTCTTTCCACAAATTGTACTCCAATTATGCAACTAAAGAAATAGGCCTAGCAAGTGAGTGTTTTTCTCGGGCTTATGAATATAAAAAAGGCCTGAAAAAAAGCCCTTAAAATGTATGGCATGCAATTATAAATATATTGATAATTTGATATGGAAAAATATAAATATGAAAGTATTATATATTTCCTTTATAATATTTTTATAAACATGATCAGAACATTTAAGGTAAATGGAAATGTAATAGACAAGGAAAAAAGAACTTATGGCAAACCAATCTATTGACTATACTTATTCCATAAATTTAAGCATTAATAAACATGATATCAAAATATATCGCAATATCGCAACAAACGATAAAAAAAACCTGTCTCAAACTAAGTCGACTTTACCTCTGCATTGTTTCTGTAAAAAAGAAAAACAACACCAAGTGATACTGTAATAAAGTAACAATAAATTTAATACTATTACAAATAATAGTTGATAAACTAGTGTTACAGTAATTTAAGTAATTTTTGGAAAAAAACGTACCTAAAATGACTACTACTAGGTCGTGAGGCGAGTTTGCGCATGGGCGAGTTTGCTAGGGGGCGAATTGACTGGTTCCCTGATAAAAAGTTTGATTTTTTATAAATAATATCATGCAAAAATAATAACAATAATAAAATTCATATTTTAGACTTAACTGTAGTTTTTCTATGTGACGTTAACCCTGAATGCTTTCCGATTTATAATTAGAATTTTTATTTGCAAACTTTTGTATGTATTCATAATAGGACTTTTTATACAGTATGTAATGTACTACTTGATATCATTCTTAAATTATATTGTACCCTTAATTATTACATTTATTTATTCATAATTTTGTTACTTACTTGAGAGCTGCCTTTGTTTAAAAGGATTCTTATGTAGTAATTTACTGTATTTTGAACATGAAGTTTCCAAATGACTACCTACTTTGAATGAGTCTGACTCATTCACATGTTTCTAGAGATAAGTTTTGTCATCAATTTATCAGTTATCAACTGTTACATCCAAAATGGAATTAAGGAATATAAAGCAATTACTACACATAGATCAACCACAATTTATACTACAAATTGTACTCCAATTATGCAACTAAAGAAATAGGCCTAGCAAGTGAGTGATTTTCTCGGGCTTATGAATATAAAAAAGCCTGAAATGGTCAATTTATACAGTAAGGCGCAAATAAACAAGGTCTTCAAAGCACCAATAATAATAATAATGACATTGCAGCATTTATAAAATGTTTGTCACTGGTGCTGGGAACAGTCCCAAAAGTGGGGAGGGGGGAATGCCATTGGCACACTTTCAATTTTAAATGAAAGTTTATGGTACTTACTGTAATACTTAAATTTGCATTTTGGTAAGAAAGGTTAGTGACTTTTTGACGTCTACTAATGTCCGGTATTATAGTATTTTCACATTTACACATTTAAAAGATTAAGCAACTAATAATATGCTATATGTTCATACCAACATCATGAAAATTTATTCACAAAAACACAAATTATTAGCACAAATGTTCTCCCCCCCCCCCTCCAATTTCGGTTTACTATAAATTACTATGGCTATCACATATATAATATATCCCTGTGTTTTTCATCTGGCCATCAATTTTCTTATTCCATATTACTGTGTGTACAATAATAAATAATGATATTATCTATTTGCAATTTCAAATGTTTTAAAATTTAATTTTGTGATGGTTTATGGTGAAGTTTTTGTTAAAATGTCAATGACCTTTTGACCTCTAATGATGTCAGTAATCATGGGATTCTGATTTTCAAAATTTAAGTGGTTGAACTACCATTATGCTACGTGTTGGTACCAAATGCATGCATATACTTTTACAGAAACAAAAGTTATGAACACAAAAGTTACCTCCCTCTCCAAAATTTGCATTTTTTATAAATCTCTAACAACCATTATCATAAAATGACTCAGTACCTGCAATGCATCCCAACATTATTCATGGTAACATCGATTTTCTTATTCTATATGACCGTGGGAACAAAAAAATATCAAGGAAGTTTTACTGCCCACATATTATATTTTCTTTTCTGAGATTAATCAGTGTACCTTTTGGTTTTTGTAATATAAACATATTTAAGATTAAAAGTTTAGTTTTTTATTATCAGCAATTTTTAAAAATCCTGTATGTTTCGAGATCTGCAGCATAATTGATCAGACTAACTTGCTGGACTCGACCATCATCATTATTCTGTAGGTGCTGGATACTGTTCTTATATTAGAATGTCTTAATACCTGGTATTCAACCCCGGCCCATGGGCCAACTCTGGCCCGCCAAAGATTTTTATCCGGCCGTGCAACATTGTCATTTTCCAGCCGAATTTTATAAAAAAAAAAATTCAGTTTATATACTGTAAACACCACCTGGGCACCCTACTCTTGCATTGTTTACAGTGAGTGTGGCTTTTTCTGAGGGTAGCTTACTGTATCTATTGGCATAGGGTATTGACATGGGGAGGGGGAGACTATCGGGGATAATGGATTAAGTGGGGCGCTGATAATACATGATGCGATATCTAACCGTTTACGGCACCAGCAGGCTCGGGGGCATGTTATTCTGTTAAAAACACTTCTTTAAAAACTTATTTTTGAATCTGAAATTGCCATTTCCAGCTATCTAGAGGTATCTGTGTTAAAAATTTGCTTCCCTTGCTTTGTTTCTACCACATAAATATCCACACACCAAGGTGTGTGGATATTTATGTGGTAGAAACATTTCTAGGCATGGTAGGAGAACATGGAGTGTAATTTTTTTTTCTTCTTTTTTTTTTTTTTTTTTTTTCTAAAATAAATGGAGAAGATAAGAAAATTATATTCAAATTTAAGTCTGAGTATACCATTTCCAACCATCTAGAGGTGCCATAATCATAAATTTACATACCTCAGCCCCAACATGGTTGGGGCTGAGGTGGTACAGTATGTTCCCCTGTCAAAGTTCTTCCCTGGCCCCTTCTATTTCGAATTCACCGGTATATAAGAAAATGGATGGGGCAGACATAAAACAATTCAAGTACTGTACACAATTTATGTTGGCCCGCCGCTGGTCTTAACAGATTGCAACTGGCCACCAGCTTAAAAAGTTTGAGTACCTGGGTCTATACATGGACTGCATTTAAAAAAATAAGGACCAATTTCCGCTTGACCCACCTCAGTATACAACCACTTATTCATTGTATTTGAAGTTTAATTTTTCACAGTATGTTTATTGTTTCCTTGCAGATTCTTGATACTTTAACATGGCTTGGAATTTTACATTTTTTATTGTTGTGGAAGATTTTGAGGTGCATCAACAACAAAAGATATTGGCAGGAACACTTCTCAAGTGTCAAAGAAGTCTTGATTACAAACATATTTTACATGCAGAATCATTGGATTCACAACATTTATTTTTTTCCTATGTGGAGGACAACAAGGTTTTACCAATCGAAAGTGAATATGTTGAGTATATACTTGCAATTCCTTCTCTTACAAAGAGATTCAAAGTTCTTCATGATAAGGATAAACTTAAAAGAGCTCTTGCAGCCAGGGTCGGTGAGACTGTTCGGGTGCCTATAAAAAGAGATACAAATGCAGATGCTGTTTTAAGGTACAAAGGCAACATTGAAAACAAAGGAATTTTGTTTGGGATTGAACTGCTTGTAAGTTTGTTTTGTTTTTTTGTGTTTTGTGTGTCTACTTTCCACTTGGTAGGGGAATTCTGCATCACACTGGTCCAAGCCTATACTGCCACCAGTGAGTTAATGGTAGCCAAAAAGAAGACCTACTGTATATCAAGCGAAACCTAATATTTGCAATTTGGTTATTGCACATTGGAGTTAATTTTTATGTTCTATGCCTAGACAAGGCAATGGAAATTTAAATTTTTGCAGGCAGAATGTTAATATAATAAACTGTTGCCCAGCATTACTGTTGTTATTTTATTATTTTGTAATACTCTGCTGTATGTATTGTATAGCTTAATTATTTTATCAGGAGGCGAATATCTGACCACCAGGCTATTTGGATATTCCCAACTCCCACAATATCAGCCTGAGTTCATGCATTTGTTTCCCCTTAACCTGTACAATATTTGAATATCTGTTACTGATTTCAGTCACATAGAGGGCTGGGAACAACTGATGGAACATTTTACAAGACGCGATACTTCAAATGTGAAGACGATTGTGGAATGTTTTTGCCGTTTGACAAATTGACCTTTGATGGATCATCAGCAAGTCATGATTCTGTGAAGGCTGTTCTAGAGCAGTTTCAAATTGGAATAAGAGTCTGTATCATTGACAACTTGGTAGATGGTAGAGAGCAAAAAGTCATGGGTAAATTGAGATACCTGTTTCCTTATGGAAACACAGGTAGAACTCTAGCTGGTGTAGAATTGGTGAGTTTCTTATAACTCTAATGATTTTACTTAATAAATAGTGCCAACATTTTGACAAAGCAACCTGTATGGGGATAAAAACAGAATAAGAAAATCTTTCACCGAAGGTGAGATACTTAAATGTATTCTCTTCCTTGGTCAGGGGCTCCCGGAAGTCACCATATCATTAGGTAGGGGAGTAGGCTTTTATTTTGAACAGGTTAAGTGTTGCTTTAGTGCAATTACTGTGATAATCCAATCTAAGCGGTCTATCAAAAAACTTGTGTTAATCAGATAATTACCTCCGCCAAGGAGGTTATGTATCCACTGCTGTCTGTTTGTTAATAGCATGATGATTATAGCATCATAAACTAGTGGAATGGTACAATCTGAAGTTTTTTTTTTATTGTTCAGTCCTGGTAATATATATGTCAGAATCCCCTTGGTATAGAATGGTGGCACCAGCAGAAGGTACTTAGGGCGCAGGACCCCCCCCCCCCCCCCCAGGCCCCCCCCCCCTCCCCCCACAGGAAACCCAGGGCCTCACTCTTTATACAAGAAAGGTGTACCGTACATTTTCAAATCTATCATTTGTGTATCAAAATAAACATTGAGGTTTGTTTTGTTGATTTTGCTCTTTATACAGTAGTTATACAGTATACTCAAGTTAACATATAATAATATTTTGTTAATTTGATTTAAGGATGAACAAGTGGCAAATTTTAATTACACTGGATGTGTTTATGGTCAAAAATACTTTGACCCACAACCAAAGGTTGCACTTCTTCCAATAGAATGTGTAATACCAGCTACTCTAATTGAAGGTACAAAATTCTTTTCATTTACCTAATCTTACTAGACTATGAATTCATCATTTACCATTTCAGTATGTATTTTTATCATAGAGATATAATAAGAATACTAGAGCGCTAACTGCAATGTACTCGATGTTCGAAATACGCAGAGCTGTGTGTGTGTACCATCCAAGATGGCTGCCATAGATTCAGGCAATCAAATTTCGCCTAAGCACTATCATTTTCAATTGTGCCCTCAATTTACACAGAAAGTGATCAGTACAGCTAGTTACCCATATGTTTGAAACTCGAGCGTTGCGGTGTATGGGTGTAATGTACACGATTAAAATTTTTTTTAAATTTTTGAATACGATGCTCTACTTGGCCTCTTTTTGGCTACGATAGTTTAATAATTTGTTATTATCAATACTAATTATCATAATAATGAAATAATAGTCAGTCAGAGGGCTTATTTATGGTAATAATATGTATACTAAGCCTGAAGGTGGCGCTTTCCTTTTGGCGGCCATCTTGGATGGTACACATACACAACTCTGCATTTCTTCGCCATCTTGTCAGCACTCTAGTTGTTTAATAGCTCTATGATTTTTATACATCTATTCTGTGTATTTTAATGAGGTGATGCTCTGTTCATTGTTGATATTTTTTCTTGTACTTTTATATTTAACAGTGTTCAATGTGAATTTTTGGAACCATGTTCTAATGCACTGTGCACTAAATATTTATTGCATTTTTAAACTGTTACTTGTGGCTTCGCCAATTTAAGATCTTGCATAGACTGTGGGTGTTTTCTAATATTTCGGGTGAAGTGAAATCAACAAAATCAAATTTAGAGCTAGTTGTTGGAAAAGTCCAGTCAATGTTTACATCTGACAGTCAAAAAGAAGGATCTCATGAGTAGTTTTTCATCATATATTAACGTACATGCCAACACATGAATTAACAAAATTTTCTTGTATCTGATTTTTCTTTGGTTTATCATCCAGAATCAGCTTCTTCACCTTCACTTTTGGAAACGCTAATAGTAGGTAAAGGAGGCAAGAACAAGAATAAAACACATGTTGAAGAATTACCACTAGGTATGAAAAATATTTAAGTGACAAACTTTGGGAATTGGTGTTAACAGAAGCATAATGGTAGAAGCGTTTTGGGAGCTTAAGCACACAGCTGGTTAATCAATTTTGATATTCCTCTGTGGCTTGATTCACAGTGAAAATTTAACCAATGTACCCCATGCACTCCAGCATTTTCTCATTTGAGTGAAGCAGTGCAGATAATGCATCTTGTCCAAGGACACAAACAAGTGGTAATTGTCAAACTTGAAATATAGACCTGTAGTTAAAAGTCTTGCCACTAAGGTATATGCTTCCACAATAATTCATATTTACAAATTTATTTATACTGTATATTTATTATTATAATAATAATAATAATAATAATAATAAAATCTTTATTTACACACGGAAGCTTGTATCACCCAACCGGTGTTTTTCAACAAGGCTGTGATGCCATTATAACAATATAAAAAACGATAAAAGGAAAAGAATACAGGTACTGTAAAACACACAATTTACAAAGAACAAGCACCAGTAACACTTGTTGGTGATCCGCTAACACTAGCGGATCACCTATTGTTATTGTCAGGATCATCATCATCTTCATCTTTTTTTTATTCTTCTTTCTTTCTCCCCTTTTCTGTTCGCACGATATCTCAAAAACTGCCACG